GTGTGTGTGTGTGTGTGTGTGTGTGTGTGTGTGTGTGTGTGTGTGTGAACCCTCATGTGGACCCTCATGTCTGTGGACACAGTGTGGGAACATGCTGGCCTATTTCTCCTCAGGTCCAATGGACATCTCACTCACCAGTCCTGAGATGCACATTGCTCCCGCCGACTGGCCAAACAGTGTTACACGGTCTGGGTCTCCACCAAAGGCCTCGATGTTTTCCTGCACCCAGTGTAGAGCGGCTATCTGGTCCAGCAGCCCCCAGTTCCCGCGGGCCTGGCTGTCGCCGGTGCTAGGCACACGAGATTCACGGTCACGGCTCCAAACTTCAATGGTCAGGATTCAGAGAGCTGCCAACCTGCTCTACCTAAGCCTTCCGCTGACTCAGTCGGTGAGACTGTATCCAGCGCTCGCCGGTTCCTTCCACAGAGTCAAGCCCAGCTCGTGCTACCCTCTCCTCAGTCCCGCCCACGCGCCACGTCCCCTCTGCCAGTCCTCGCCTTCTGCGCCTCAGACAGGTAGGTGAAGGCCCCGCCCCTGGTCCAAGGCCCACCTGAAGAAGCCCATGATGCCCAGCCTGTACTGCAGCATCACCAGCACCACTTTCTCCCGGGCGGCCAGCTCTGAGCCTTCGTAGGTGGAAGCCGAGCCGACGAGGAAGGCACCTCCGGGGAACCAAATCATTACCTGGGCAAGAAAGGTCGCCAAAGCCTGAGCTGGGCTGTGGGGTGGCAGAGGGGAATGGCAGGCGATGGAGAACACTCACCGGCAGCAGAGGGTCCCCAGGTGCAAGCACTGGAGCATACACGTTCAAGTAGAGACAGTCCTCACTGAAATGCAGCCACTCGTACTGTTTCCGCGTGCTAAGGTACAGGGAAGTTATCTGCCCCCAAGTTTCCTGAAGGCACCTGTGGGAATACAACGAGTTCGGATTGGCAGTGAAGAGAGTGGTTTCAACCTAGGGTCAGCAGCGCTGAGGGAGAACCTAAGACAAAAGCCTGTACGTGTGTGCATGCCTTCTGGAGGGTTTCACCAGTGCTCGGGTCCAGAACCGAGAGGCAAGCAGGGCTCTCTGGGATCCATCCTTCCATTCTACCGTGGGTCTTGCCTTTCACCCCTTAACCTGGGTAGTCTTTGCTTTTATTAGAGACTGCCGACGAAATCGAAGCCAAAGAGTGCAGGGAACCATATGAAAGGAGGGGGAGTTTGTATGACGTGGAAAGGATAGGAGCTCCACAAGGACCAAATATATCTGGGCACAGGGGTCTTTTCTGAGACTGACACTCCACCAAGGACCATGTATGGATATAACCTATAACCTCTGCATGGATGTAGCCCGTGGTAGCTCAGTAACCAATTGGTTTCCCATAGTAAGGGGAACAGGGACCATTTCTGACATGAATTCAATGACTGGCTCTTTGACCTCCCCACCCCCCAAGGGAGGAGCAGTCCTGCTAGGCCACAGAGGAGGACCTTGCAGCCAGTCCTGTAGATACTTGATAAAACAGGGTCAGATGAAAGGGGAGGAGGTCCTCCCCAATCAGTGGACTTGGAAAGGGGCAGGGAGGAGATAAGGGAGGGGGGGAGGGTTTGGAAGGGAATGAGGGAGGGGAATACAGCTGGGATACAGAGTTAACAAAATGTAACTAATAATAAATAAATAAATAAATAAATAAATAAATAAATAAATACCAATATTATTGATAGAATGAAAAAAATCGAGGCCAAAATTTGGGTGCCCTGTGTACCTCTCTGCCTTCATGTCCAACCCTCCAAGACTCTTAACTCCTAAGCAAGCCAAGGAGCGCTATAACATGTTTTCCCACTCCAGACACAGGGCCACTGTCCTGTCAAGACAATCAAATGTATGGTCTGGACACACAAAGCCCCAACCTCTTCACAGTCCTCCAACTTGTTCTCATTACTCTGGAAGACTTTGATAAAAGTTATTAAAAAAAAAAAAAAAAAAAAAGCAAAACACAATGCAGATAAGATCATCGTGCTGGTTTTTTGTTTTGTTTTTGTTTTTTGTTTTTTGAGACAGGATTTCTCTTGTAGCCTTGGCATTCCTGGACCAGGCTGGCCTCGAACTCACAGTGATCCACTTACCTCTGCCTTTCTGAATGCTGGAATTATAGTTGTGTGTGGCACTGCCCTTCTTAAAACCTTCCCTGGAGGGCAGAGCAGCCAACATCTGTAGTCAAAGCGATTCTGGGCTGTGTAGAGTATTCCAGGACATCCTGAGCTACAGCGCAGATCTGTCTCTCCAAAACCTGCGTCCCTGGCTCCCTACTGCCTTCAGAGAAAAAGTCCAGACACCCTCAGTCTGACTTAGGTCCTCCTTTCCATCCAGTCAGCTCACCAGCCACCTTTGTTCCCGACAGACATGGCAGCTTTCTTGCGACATCCAAACCCTCGTGCCTCTGTGCCCTCTGCCAAGTGCTTTCTTCCTTGCCCAGTAAACTCTTACTCCTGCTTATGGCAGGCTCAGACGGTGCCCGGTCTTACGCACACTCCACCCATGTCCTACAAACCTTTCTCCGCTCTTGACTGCAATGCTGGCTGGAATGACTTCAGTTACTTGTTTTTCTCCTGGGTGGCTCCGTCACTCCTTGAAAGCGGGATGACAGCGTGTCCTGGCACTCAGCAAGGGTGCTATGTGGACTTGTAGAGTATTTGAAGACCATGAGCTATAAGCCCCCCC